GCGCGCGCGTGCGTACTCGCCTTCATTCTGACCACGTCTTGTTCTCTTTGGTTCGGCACAGTGTATGACGTCACACGTCAGGATACCTTCACCAAGCTCGACACCTGGCTCAACGAGCTCGAGACGTACTGCACACGGAACGACCTCGTCAAAATGCTTGTGGGAAATAAAATTGATAAGGTGAGTGTTTATGTGGTTCTGCATCAAATGTTTGTGTTGACAAGGTTTTTGGATTAGAGCGGAGCAGCACATCAGGATATTTAATTCAACTTGTACCGTGTGGTTTGGGTTGAGCTTTAATGACCAAAAACATTCACTTGATGTTCACTTTTTTGACAAATTTTAAAATTGTTTTTCTGTATCTAGATATGCAAAGAACAGTTACTTCATATAGACATATTCCACAGAACGGTAAAAACGAAATTGACAAAAATAAGTAGAATCACCTTACAGCCAGTTGACAGATTACAGAACTAAATAACTGTGGCAGACCCACTTTCATATTTTTGGCAGCTGGTCCTTCACCAGGATACCAGAATCAGTCAGTGGGGATAATAATGGCCACTAAGTAGAGCATTATGAATTTATTGTGTCCTGTTCTTTGTCTGTGAAAATCACTTTTCCTCTCTGCCCTGTGACGACCACAGTAGCTGACAGCTCTGCCCGGCAGACCTCAAATAAGCCATTACCTCTCCTTTTGTTTTAGGAAAACCACGAGCTAGACAGGGCCGAAGGGCTGAAGTTTGCAAGAAAACATTCCACGCTTTTTATAGGTAAGTCGTGAGGATTCCCTGCTCTACAAAGACCTGCTGGGCATGATCTGCAGCAGGCTGTTACACGGGGGAAACAGCCTTTTGAAATAACTATCATACTTGTTGAGGAATGCTTGCATAGTTCTATTAATAAAACGGGCGTCGTATATCACTTTCTGCGCGCTCTCTTTTCCCCCTGTAGTTTAATTTTTTGAAATTTGTTAGTCGTGACTTTTACTTAAAGTTTAAACGCCTCGTTTTAATCTTCCAACTACCGAAAAATGTCATTTAAGAAATGTTTGTGGAAATCGAAATATTTCACTCAGATCTTTCAAAGTTCTCCAAGTCATTTCAAAAAAGTATTAATTGTGATTTGGCTTGATTAAATAAGATTGATTTCTTTATGCCGGGGTTATTACTATTCTAATGTTTCTGGATATGGTCGTGTTGTGGAGCAGGTGTTGACTATATCCCCTATTAACCTCCAAGGGTTCACTATTAGCGGGGTTGACAGTTATTGTTGAGACATTTTCCACCCCTCTGCTCTGAGAGCCCAAACGGATGATGAGATCAAGATGCAGACAACGGATCTGTATCTCATCTTCTTTTCCGCGTTCTCTTTTAATCCACTTCACTTTTTTCTCTTGTTTTTTCCCCCTTCACTCCTTTTTTTTTTTTTTTTTTTTTTTGCCTCTTTCTCTTCTCCTGCCCCTTCTTTCTCCTTTTTATTTTCCCTCCCCATCTACACTCTGTTCTCCCAGAGGCGAGTGCAAAGACCAGGGACGGTGTTCAGTGTGCGTTCGAGGAGCTGGTGGAGAAGATCATCCAGACTCCCGGTTTATGGCAGACCGAGACCCACGGCCGAGGGGTCCAGCTCACCGACGAGGACGCGGGAGCCGGAAGCTGCAGTGGCTACTGCTCCCTGGTCTAGACAACACATGCTAATACGTTCTCTCTCTCTCTCTCACACACACACACACACACACACACACACACACACACACACAC